TCTAGTAACCTCGTTTTAAAGTATCTCGTTTCGAATTTTTAGAGTAACCAATTAACGATATTTTAAAAAGCGCAATTGTTTTAAGAAGCCAATAAATTTTCGCTAAATCGTTTACACGCTTTTAAATTTCAATTTTGCTAATCGTTAAATGTTGGTTTTAAAATTAAATTTTTTAGTATTTAAGTATTGAAAAGTAAAGTATTTAAAAGGTTCAAATATAAAACTACAATTTAAAGAAATAGTTAAATATCAAAGGTAAATACTTATGATTAATATATTTACAGTAATGTTTTTACCTGATTAATATTACAAAAATTTTTTTTTTGCACCTTTTTAAAATATAAAAGTTTCAGAAAGAACTAATGTTAACTTAATTCATAAATAACTTATACTCTCATGGGCCACGGCGACGGGGGGAAAAGGGGGCTGAGGGGCTATGACCCCCAGATTTTTTCAAAAGGACCTTTTTTAAACACTAGATTTTTTGTAGTAAGTTTTGATATTTTAGGTTTTTTTGGTGTTTTTCCCCCTCCCCCACTAAAAAGTCACGCCGTGGCCCATGGCTCTAAGTGCTATACTTTAAAAGAGTTTACATATATTATTAGTATACAAAAATGCCCAAAGTTACGACTACAATTACACGGATGAAAAGTGAAAAAAAGTATTGCGGTGGCCCATGTGAATTATCAATGACAGATCCAAGCACTTTTAGACAGGTTATTCAGTACTATTACTATCTAATTCATGTGAATCCAAATGCAGATATCTTATCAGTGACTCAGCAAATTAGCAATAACATAAAATCAATTTGGGCTTCAGTAAACCCAAGTTTACCTCTTATAACTGACAAATCTATTAATAGGAAAGTAAAAGATCTTCTCGTACTTGTTAAGGATATTAATCGCAAGCACGGAAAAGCAAGCGCTAAAAGAAATCTTGATGCTAACTTGGACAAACTCTTTGATATTTCTGCGTGTTCCTGTTCATTAGATGTGTTTCCCTGTAGTGATAGAAAAGTTTCTTGCAATAAAGAAAATTGCATTGAAGAACATATTGTATGCCTTTGCTCTCAAAGTAATAAAGTACCTCTTGAAGACAGAGCTTATCTTCGTGATCAGAGAAAAAAAATTGGTCCAAAAGGTGCATATCAACTTTCTTCCGTTGATAGATTATCTGTCAAAAAGACTCAAAAACTTGATAAAGAACGAAAAAAAATATTTCATAATTTAGTTGATGAAGATGAATCCCCTATACCACATGTAAACTTAGTTGAAGAAGCAAGTGGTTTATCCAATACGGAAGTAAATGTTTTATAACTACATGATATATTCGTAGTAGATGAAATATAAAGCATTTTATTTTTTTAACTTTTTTAGGATGAAGGTGAATGGAAACCAATAAATAATCCTATTGGAAAATACAACTTGGTTAAACTTCCAAGATTTGCAATGGAACTAGTTAGAAACGAGTGCTCGTCAAACGTAGGTGCAGCTCTAGCAAATGCTTAACCACATGACATTAAACATCTCCTGAAAGACGACGTTGATATAAAAGATATTTTGATTGACAAATGCAAATTAGATAGAGCCAAATCAAAAGTAAAAACTGTTACTGAAGATGTGGACTCAGAACAAAAAAAACAGTTAATTTGTCTTGGGGTTGATGGCAAGCTCGATCAGATAACTAAAACAAGTAAAATAATAAACTCACCTCAAGGAGAAGTACTAAAGAAATGCATTGAACCTGAACATCACCTCACATTTACTTATGAAGATGGAAAATCGAGTGGAAATTATTTGACTCATAGGACGATTCCTGTTACTGGTGCTACAGGCTTAGTTCTTGCTACCGAAACGTTCAGTGTTTTACAAGAATATAACAGTTTGGAAAGTATACAAGCTGTTCTTCTTGATAATACAGCAACCAATACTGGACCAATAAGTGGCTTAGTGGTAAAACTAGAAGAGCTTTTAAAAAGAAAACTACACCTAATTGGATGCGCATTACATCAAAACGAACTTCCGTTACGAGCTCTTTTTATAAAACTTGATGGTGACACAACTGGGCCAAGAAGCTTCAGTGGTCTACTTGGCAAAAGATGTGCTGAAAATATTCAGGATAGAAATCAAGTTTTGTTTGAACGTATTGAAAACCCAATAGTAGATGGATATATTCCAGAAGAAATATTAATAGACCTTAGTTGCGATCAAAGACTTTTGTTTGAATATTGCAAAGGAATAGGCTTTGGTAAAGTTTCTGATAAATGGGCTGCCTATAAAATTGGACCGCTTAACCATGCAAGGTGGTTAACTCTAGCTATTCGCCTTCTCTGTTTATATACTAGAGACAATCAACCAACCGTTTCTTTAAAAAAACTTGTATACTTTATTGTTCAAGTTTATGCTCCAGCATGGTTCGAAATAAAAAAATCTTCAAAATTCCACGAATCCCCGCGCCTTATTTTTTCTACTATTACTAGAATAAATAATCTCCACTTTGATGATGTTAAACTTATTGTTAAAAAAAACATCAAAAAAAATGCATTGTGCCTAAAACCTGAAAATATTCTTTATGCCATGCTAAAAGATAATGACAAAAAGATACGAAACTTTGGTTTTCAAATCCTACTGGCTCTAAGGCAAAGGTATTTTTTATAGTTAACTAAAATAAAGTTTTGAAAAAATTTATATTAAATGTGGTAATTGACTTCGGTTTATACTCATAGAGTAAACAACGAAATTTTGAAAGTAAATTTGATGAAAATTCCGGAAATTAATTTTAATGCTAATCATTGGTATGAGTTGGTTGACATCAGCATTACAAAAGTTACGGAGCCCCCTACAACACAACATTTTTCAATTGAGCAAATCCAATATATGATTGACAATAACGTTAAACCTGAAATTTCTGACTTTCCATCTCACTCCCAGAGTGTTGAGCGAGCGGTAAAACTAGTATCGGAAGCATCCCAATATGTTTATGGGTTCGAGAATCGACACAGTTGCATTTTAACCAAATTACTAAGCAGGAAGATGCGTAAACCATATATTTCAAAAGGACATTATTCCCATTCTTATGATGATATTTTTTAATTGAAAATATTTTTCTAAAAATATATATTCCTGTTCAAAATGTTTTAAATTGTGAAATTATTGTTTATTGTAATATTCTTATGTAAATATAAGGATAAAAGATTCACTGATAAAGTCTTTAAACAATTAACAAGTTGTTATAAATTTAACTTAATTGTTATAAATTATTATAAATTTAAATCATTTAGCAATGCAAATAATATTAAAAACATTTTTAAAATGAACATATTTAAAACGTCAGTTTTCTCGTATAACGTTTTTTAAGGTGTTTTTTTGCGTAATCCTTCAAATCTTAAAAATTAAATCCGCAAGCGAATCTTCATCAAAAATCTTTCAAACTTTGAGGGTAATCATATTTCAACTGTCTCCAACTACTGCAGTATTACGCAATATGCGGAAGTAAAATCGACCTACCCTAATATATATATATATATATATATATATATATATATATATATATATATATATATATATATATATATATATATATATATATATATACATATATATATCAAGCCTTCCCAGAAAAGGTGTGCAGCTTTTTGTTTCGTATGACCATGCACGATTATAATATTTTAGAAAACGTGAACACGGCCGTTTGCAAGTTTTATAATAATGCTGAAAAAAATTCAAAAACACAAAACTAACAAGATAAAAAGAGATTGAAGTAGAAAAAAATAAAAACAAATTAATAATTTAAATAATATGTGTACTGTTTTTATTTTTGTTTCTTTAGAATTACATTCAGCAACAAAAATAGATAAGGCAAAGCAAAAAAAAAAAGTTTAAAGCCTACAATTATAAGAATGATTTTCCTTTTCTTAATTTTTTTTAAGAGGATAGCAAAATTACAGATTGCAATGTGTTTGTAAAATTTATTTGTATAATTTTAATGTAACAACAAGGGTTGAATTAAGCGAATGCAAAACGCAAAATCTGGAAAAATATCTAGTATTCAAAATTTTAGTTTAAAGAAAACCGTGTTCCTTGTTTTTAAGGGGAGAATCAACTTAAATTTCTTAGTGAAAAAATAAAAAAATAAAAACAAATTAACTTACAATTACAAAAGTAATTACACTCTAGTAACAAACTGCATTACAAAAGCAATAACACTATAATAGTGTTATTACTTTTATAATGCACTTAAAATTCATTCTTTGTTCAAGCAACATTAGTATTTCCAAATTTTAATTAAAGTAGAAAAATATCTAGAAGAATAAAGTGGATGTTGAAATAATATTAAAACTAAAGTAACTTATAAAAAAGTGACAAACAACTTTATGAAAACGTATCGTATTAAAAGTTTAGCATTATGAAAAACGTTACTAATGGACCATAAAAATGTGCGTTAATTTTAAAATTAAACAATAAAAACTTTTTATTAGTTGATTTTAAAATTAACGTGTGTTTTTACTAAACGTTTTTCATAATGCGATACTTTTTATAAAGTGCTTTTTTATAACGTTGTTTAAGAGATATGTGAAAGTTCCTAAAATTTTTAATAATATTTGAATATTCGCTTTATTTTTTCTAGATGCTTTTCTACTTTAATAAATGTTTGGAATTAATAATGTTGTTTGAACAAAGAATGAACTTTAAAAGTAATAAGTGCTTTATAAATGTAATAACACTATTATAGTTTTATTACTTTTATAATGCAGTTTTTTTTTGTTATTTCACCTCCCCAAGGCCAAGAAGGCCACTACAGACGAGGAGGCTACTTAATTGTGGTTATAACCCTCTATCAACTCTATTACTCCGAAACACGAACCTTGATGAACAAGGCTGCTGCACGGAGAAACAAGTTGAGCGCTGTACTACCAGGGACATGGTAGGGATCGAACTCGTAACCTCTCGTGATTAAATGTTATTACATTGGTAGTCGTAAGTTTATTGTTTTTGTTTTGTTTTTTATAACTTTCTTGCTAACAAACTTTTAATAATTTGCTCCTTATAAACAAAGTACACAGCTTTGCATGAACTAAAATTTTAAAGACCTAATATTTTTAACCCGGAGTTTGCAAATCGCGATCATATAATTTAACTCTTGATATAAACTTGTTACATTATAATTATACAAATATATTTTACAAACAGATGAAGATACATATTTTCTCTTTCCTCTTTAAAAGAAAAAACACATAAAAGATGGGAAAGTCATCCTTTTTAACGCCTAAAACTGTTTTTTTGTTTTGTTGTTGCTTTGACTTAATAAATTTTGTTGCCGATAATAATAAGCACTAAGAAAAAACAAAAATTAAAAGAACACATAAATTATTTAAACTTCTATTGTTTTCTATTTAAGTTTATTTTAATTTCTTATTTAGTTATTAAATTTAAAATAATTTATCAGTAACGCATATAATATAACTTACACAAACGGCCGTGATCGCGTTCTCTAACTTGAAAAACGTTTTCGTGGTTGTACGTGAAAAAAAACCGCACGCCTTTCCTGGGAAGGCTTGATATATATATATATATATATATATATATATATATATATATATATATATATATATATATATACACATATTTTTTTTTGTTTTTTTTTTTTACAACAATTATTATATATTTCAAGAACAAATATTTACATGACTCCAGTTTATATAAATGTCCACCACACATATTGCAATATCTAGCATTAACAATGCTGTTTCACGCTTGGCGTATTACAGTGGGTTAGAAATGTTAAGAGAAAAACAAAAAAAAAATAAAAAAAATAAAAAGTAAAAAATCGTGGTTTATAATATAAAGTGCTGGCTATTAACCCATGCATTTAAAAAATATACGCAAGTCCGTCGCACCACAGGGCTACTAATGACTTGCTTGTGGTTATCGTTGAAAAAATATATTAATATATCATAATAACGCTATGTTGTTGTAAGGAAACTCGCAGAAGACTAAGAGAAGTCTTTTCATCGAGAACCTTTCAAATGCAAAATGAACAAAAAATTTAAAGAGTAATTTCACAAAACACACATTAACTTTGAGGTCCACTGTTCAGTAATATTTTACTATGTATAGTTGCTACTATATTTATTATTATTATTATTATTATTATTTTTATTTATTTATTTTAAAATTTAAATTGTTCTTGTTACATTTATTATATTCATTTTCTTTTACATTTAATACATATCGATAAAATTGGTTTTGTTAATTATAAGATCTTTTAATTTTTTTTTAAGGATAGTAAGATTATCTTATTTAGTAAGTTCTATATTTTGAGATATTATTTTGTTGTATAAGTAGGGGCCACGGTATGCAATTGAAAATCTTGAAAATTTTGTTTTTTTAATGGGCAGGGTGAAATTTCCTGTTCCTCTTGTGCTATATCTGTTGGCGTAGGTTTGAAAAAAGTTATTAGTAAAATGAGATGGGACAAGCCCGAGCATATATTTGAGCATAAATAAAATATTTTGGTAGATGTTAATTTGATAGACATTTAACGCATTCAAGTTTTAAGTAAAGGATCGGCATGAGTGAATTTATTTTTATTATAAATCAATCTTGATGCGTGTTTCTGGTGTATATAGAGAATTTAGTTTAGATTTATTTGTATTTCCCCAGGCAATATTAGCATATGTTAAATAACTTTGTATATAAGAAAAGTAGAGACTTTTAAGATTTTTCTGGGAAAGTAAAGGTTTGAGTTTGTAGAGTATGCCGATACTTTTTGATATTTTTGTATTTATTGTATTTATATGGGCTTTCCAAGAAATCGTTTCGTCAATAATTATCCCAAGAAATTTAACGGTTTTAGCTCTTTCGATATTTATGTTATCAATTTTTAGTAATGGTAGCATTCTTGGTATATTATTTTTTTGATGGTTGGAATGAAACAAGATGTATTTTGTTTTTTCTGTATTTAAAGATAATTTATTTACTTTAAACCAGGTGTTTAGATTATCAAGGTCATCGTTCACAGATTCAAAGAGATTTTCAATTGATGCTGATGAATAAAACAAATTTGTGTCATCAGCAAACATTACAGCATCAAGTTTTTTTAGGGATTGTGGAAGATCGTTAATATAAATTAAAAATAAAAGAGGGCCAAGAATGGAACCTTGGGGAACTCCGCATTTAATTTCTAGTAAATTTGAATATTTATTATCATTCGAAATAACGCATTGTTGTCTGTTGCATAAATAACTTTTAAACCAATCTAGGGTAGTATTTTTTATTCCGTATTTTTCCATTTTTTTAAGTAGGATATCATGATTAATTGCATCAAATGCTTTAGATAGGTCTATAAAAGTTCCTAATACAAATTGCTTTTTATTAAAAGAATCACTTATGCTATTAACTATATCTAAAATTGCATGTTCTGTCGAGTGTTGTGATTGAAAACCAAATTGTTTTTTATCTAAGAGTTTGTTTTGAATTAGATATTCATATAGTCTATTGTAGATTATTCGTTCAAGTATTTTAGAAAAAATTGGAAGAATAGAAATTGGTCTGTAATTATTTATTTGAAATGTTTCACCGGTTTTAAAAATAGGTATAATTTTAGCTACTGTTAATTTATCTGGTACAGTTCCAGTTTTAATTGATGATTTGAATATTTCAAAAATAGGTTTGCGTATCTGCGAAGAGACATTAGCAACAATATTACTGCTAATGTCATCTACACCTGGAGACTTGTTTATTTTAATAGAGTTTATTGCATTTTCGAGTTCATCAATTTTTAGTTCTTTAAATATTAGTTCGCTGTTGACACTAGTTAAGTAAGTTTCAAATGAGTTGTTTGGACAGTGGATTTTTGAAGCTAGATTTGGGCCTATGTTGACAAAAAAACTGTTAAATTTTTCTGAAATTACATTACAATCTTTATACTCATTATTATCTATGACAATTTGTGCAGGTAAACTATTTGATTTGCAGTGTTTAGTCCCAATTATTTCTTTTATGATATCCCAAGTTTTTTTAATATTACCATTTGAGTTTTTTATTTTATTTGAGTAAAAGTTTTTCTTCGAATTTTTTTAAATTTTTTCAAACAAGTTTTTATACTGTTTGTAAACATTTAGGTTTGCCTCA